AAGGGAGAGCAGAGAAGCACTGGAGTTAGATGTTCAGGAAAGGGTTTGAGTGGAAAGGATTGAATTGCCAAGCTTGGCTTAGTAGTAAGCATTTGAAATAGAACTGAGAGCTGTAGTGAACTGCTATAGAACTGTAGTGGCTTGAAGACCACCAGGTTAGTGTGGATTGTGTGTCCCCCTCACATGCTTCATTTCTACCTCTGTCCTAAGCTGCATTTGCCTCTGTACAACACACAGTGCAGTACACTAAATGCATTACAGAATACATGCTTCAGTGGCCTAATAAAAGCTTTGCTTGTGTCGACAAGGAATTTATTAGAACTGAAATCTTACCAGCATTACACAGAAGCTGGCACAGAGAACAAGGCTGTGGAGGGACTTGTCAACAGCCTTTCAATTGACTTTTGCTGACTGATATTTCAAGATTAGGTGCTATTGTAGGGCATTTAGTGTAAGAAAGGATTGCTGTGAGATCTTAGCTTCTGTCCTGGTTATTTGCTATTGATGGGAACTCTTTGGTTCCAGCAGTTTGGTTCTTTGTGATTCGGAAGAAGTATTGAAAGTCCACATAGCTTTGGGTCAGAAATGTGTTTTCCTTCAAAATATGCCAGGGAAGTGTCAATGTGACAAGAACGGGATAAAAAGCCTACAGGGAAGAGAACAGCAGGATGCTTTCTGTGGCCTAACACAGCCCCACCAAGCGATTCCTGGAGTCTGGCTTGAAAGCAAGCTATATTGCTTGCTGTAAAAAGGGAGATACTGTACAAAAGCCATTGCTCACTTACGAAGAAGTCTAAGCTATTCTGGCATAGATTTTCTCACCCAGGAAAGAACTTGCTGTGATTGGGCAGGGTGCCTGGTTGTGGTATGACATTCTCTCCTGTGTATATTGAAGTCTCTAAAGCAATGAAGAATGTGGCACTTACACAGCAGAGCACTCCAGTAACATGAGACTAGGCTATGACTTAGGGCTGCTAATCTTCATTCAGCCTTGGTGTCAGCCCTGCTGTGTGACAGGGTCAGTTTATGTGGGTGAAGGTGCATACCCAGAGCCATACTCAGACCACCTGATCACGGTTAACTTTCCTTGGTTTCCTGTTTTCTTGCAGCCAGGATCCACTAACTCTATATACAGTGCTCTCAGTTGTTCTTTTGCTCCTGAAGTTACCTGCCTGCCCATATCTTAGTGGGCACTGTAAGCAGCCTGCATGCGGCCTGTGTGTATGGGCTGGTCTTAGAAAACAATAATGTAATGACTGATTTGTAGCAATTGCACTTCAGGCAGTAAAAAAAACAAACTAGAAAAATGGCAACTGATAGAATAGACTGGAGAAGTGGGAGGAGAAACTTCAGTAGTATCTGAAAATCCAGATGGACAATTTCAGATGCATGACTTCCTTTGAATACTGCCTACGTAGGAGTTCAGCACTGAGACTCCTCAAGCTAAAAGTGAGCACTGTTGAGAGAAGACAGTACCCATTCAGAACCAGTAAAGATAGTGACCTGCAAGCAGGAAAGCTCTGGGAGTGTAAAACCCCAGCTGAAAGCAATGCTGCAGTCAAGGAAATGAGCACATGTGGTGTAGCTCCTTGCAACCGAGCTGTAATCCTGTGTGACCAGTTTGTATTGGAGAAGACAAAAATGAAACAAAGAATGATGTTTGGAGAATTCGGTGGTCTGCAAACTGCAGTACAAAAGCTTTTCTCACCATCTGCCTTTGAGGACTGTGTCCCTCCAATCTGCTGAAGTCAAACTGGTGCTTTCCACGCTAGCCTGTGCTGCTCTGGCACCTTGCAGAAAGATAATTAAACTGGTGAGACACTTTCTGCCTCTTTCTCTTATTCAAGCAATTCTTTCTCCATCAGATGACTAGTTCTCATTGTGAGTAAGTAGATTTGGGAGGGAAGAGGAGTTTCAGCTCTTAGGTTGCTAATGTAGAGTTAGATTTTTGTTTCACTAACAGGTATTATTTTTTTCTCTAGTCTTCAGGTACTGGGAGAAGAAGTGAGCAAACCCCTTTCACCATGACAGTAATTTGAGCAGAAACAGCTTTGCCTGCAAATAAATAAATAAATATTATATGAAAGGCTTTGGCTGGAGCTGCCATGTTCATTCTTGTTTCTAAAGCCCCCACAGGCCATGTCACATATGTGGGTCATGAGGTCTATCGATTATGTGTCAGACCCTTAGGTGTCAGTAATCAATAACACTAACCTGCAGAAAATGCAGCAGAGATTTGCTAAACCAACTCTTCACATTGTTCTTTTTCTTTTATTTAAGTTTTCTGTGCCTTGCTAAAAATAACAGGCTGCATAGCAGCAAAGGCAGGGGAGACAAAAAAGTCATCTGGCTGCCAACTCATTTACTGTCCGTTTTCATCTGATTCTGTATGGTTCTTGGTGAGAAGGCAGGATGAGGAGGGGCAAGACAGGAAAGGGTATTTCCAATTGAATGGCTTCTGAGAAGTAGAAATGAAAGTGATTGAGTTGGGAGGACCTAAACATGTTGACCCCGACAGCTTATTAATATTTAACAAGGTGCCAGATTTTTCTTTGACACTGGAAATTGTTGCGACTGTCTGTCTCCAGCAGACTGAGTCTGCTTTCTCAGTCCACCATATCTAATGTACCTGCTTCCAGTCATGAATAGTCCTTATTCACGAATGCTCTCCTTTATTTGCTGTTTCTGAGAATAAAGAAAGGTAGTTTGGCAGATTAAGGTGTGAAGTTTTTCATTCAAACTTCATATCTCTGTATGTTCTCAATGGGTCACTGAGCAGACTGTGGTTTTCTTGTGTTGATTGTGGTTTTCAGAATCATTCCTCAAAGAACTTTTAACAAAACATTTATTTGCCTTTTTACTTTGCAGACTGCTTGCGAGCTGTTCGCTGTGACAGTTACATCTTTTAAATGTAAGCAGCTCTGATGAGATAAATACAACAATTTGGAACTCGTATTCTGATTTGTATTAATGCACTCCCTCGGCTGGTATATGAAGTGGGGATCCTATTGGGGGTGGGAAGAAAGTCTGTGCCATAAAGATAATGCAGCATCGAACAAACAATACTCAATAGAGGAGATGAAGAGTAGGATAAAATAATATCTTTATGTATTATTTAGGTGGTCTGCATCCCCACCCTTTTGGTGCCTGCCTCTGTCTCTGCATTAGAGAGGTGGATTAACTTCCTAATGTAGATGTGAAGAGCTAAATGACTTTTCCAAGGTCATAGAGAAAGTTTGTGGCAAAGCTGCATATTGAATTAGTTTTACCAAATCTCAGTCCAGTGTCCTGAATATGTTTTTTTAAAAGGGAGTTTCAACCATCCATAGAATCATAAACCATATTTATTTATCTTTATGTACTCCCAATTAAACCACGGAAAATGAAGGAATCCATTTGCTAAAGAGTTAGTTTTCTGTTAAATTGACAGATAAGATCCGTAGAGAGCTGTTGGGTTTGGCTTTAGGCATTTCCAGTCAAGACTAGGAATTCTCAATGCTGTTTTTGTGGATGCTCCACAACATGGGTGTAAACTTTGAGATCTCAAAGTTTCAGTGATAAGGGTTTCCTCTTGCACCCTAAGACCGATGCCAAGGACCTTCTGTCTTTTTTGGCTTCTTTGGAAACTAGTCCAGAATATATTTTACCATTTTATATAGTTTTTTACTGCTCCAGCTGCTCTGAAATGTCTGATTCTCATAATTCGTGTGTTCCCCTTAATAGAACTAGGCAACCATTTGGTTATTGGAGTTTACAGTGTGTATTTATGCCTTGCCATTGGGGAAGCAGCTTCCGTTTTTGCATTTAGAAAGTTTTAAAATGAAACCTGAAAATATTTCCCCTCTCTACAGTGTTTGAATTGCAAAGCACCCTGTTGCTGCCTTGAGCCCACTGCATTGTGTAAAATCACTCATTTCAATGATAATCCACTTGCAACTGTGCTCAATTACCCACTTGTGCTGTGAGTTGCCAACTATTTGCCTAGTTGCAGAGGATAAAACCTATCTGGAAAAATTGGGCAAAAAGTGGATACCGGGAGGGGGAAACCTGAAGGGAAAGACTACCAGGGGAAGCAGGATGCTTGGAGTTGAGAACAGAGGCATGGAAGAGAGATGGACAGGAAGAAGAAACATGGTAAGTGCTTAAAAAGGCAGAGACTAAATAAAGAAATTAAGAAGAGAAAATAAGAAAGCAGTGGCTTGGTGGATGAGGTCTGGTCTAGCAGATGGAAGGAAGGATTTATGCCCAGCTTTGCACATGAACTTTGCACATGGGTGACCGTGGACCATTTCTATCACCTCCTTGTCTTCAGTTTCACCTTCTGTAAAATAGGTCCTGTGGTACTGACCCTCCTCTGAGGAGCATGGATGGGAAGAGCTAGACAAGAGCTACAGTAACACTGGTTATCCTGATTTATTGGTTTTCCTTTGCTAAGGCAGCATTTAGCCAATGGCACTCTGCCCTTTCACTTGTAGGAGAGCTAAAAACCTCAAGAAAGAAAAACACACGGCTCCTCGGCCCTCTTTCGGGAAAGGAGGGAGGCTTTTAATTATTTAAGCATCTCCTTTTCAGGTTGCTTCTGGTTTTAGAATCGTTATCGCTATAGTTGTTAAGGCTATAGGCTCTACATAAATCATTTAAATAAATAATAAATAAGCCATATCATTAAGTAATACACTGGTATTTATTATGGCTGTAGGGAAGAACTCTGTGGAGAAGGCTGTGTTTAAACTGAGAAGAAGCCTTTATTAAGCACATCATTTTAAACACTGCCTTCTGGAGTTAAAATATTAGCTTTTGGGAACTGGCCTGGGACATGGATTTGCTCTGTAAGAATTGGCCACCAAAGTAAGTGTCTGTGATTCTGCTGTCCATTGGGCACATTGCATGTCTCATGGTGTGGCCCCTGCTGAACATGGTCCTGTCTCACAGACTTCTGGTTCCTCTTGTTCTTGATTTTTCTCCCAAGAAGGGCCAAAGGTTTTGCATCAGGCAGCACTCAGTATTGTGGTGTCCTGAGCACACACTGCAGTGTTGTCAGGCTTTGCACGGGCTCAGGTCCTGCAGCAACACAGGTACAGCACTGCCTCAAGTTACTCCTTTGCTTACGAGAATGAGGCCTGATATTTACAGGGCTGCTCTGAAAGTCTTGTCTCAGCTTCACCACTGAAACCTCTCTTCCTCAGTAAAAGCAGAACCACTCATTTCAAGCTGTAATACACACATTTACAATACTGTAAACACAGTTAGGAGGTGTCACTTCAAAATCTTATTTCTGAAGTGAAAAATCAATGTACTTTTTAGCGTGTTGTGGTTAGAGAAGATTCTACTTAATTTTTGGGTTTGCTCTGGATTTTTGTTTGCCCAATTATTTTTCCATGGATGAATCTTCCACACAATTTGAGTGTGCGAAAGAAAAAAGCTGCCTCAGCTAGCCTTGCTGGTGGCTCAGCATTGCCAAGTGCTGGGGACACATCAGTTCTGTAATTTGATATAAATAAGCAAGACAGTTATAGAAGAATTATCAGTAGGTGATGAGGAGAAGTGTAATTTTATCAATAATTACATTTCTGTGCAGGGTGGTAAGAATCTTTACTGAGCTGGTACCTATAAACACTGAATTTTTTCAGGAGGAGTCGCATAGTCCTTGGGGTCTGCCCTGAACATGGTCATGCTGCTGCATGTGATGGTGCCATTCCACCCACAGTCTGCAGTGAAACCTTTGCAGCAGGACAAGATGGAGCCAGTCAGCATCCTCGTGAGGCTGCTCAGTTGCACAGGTAAGACTTTGGGTGCCTTTAAGTCTTGAGAGACAACATCAAGGGAAGGAGAGGGGCCAGGTGCTGGTTGCTCTCGAGGGTTTGAGATAGAACAGAACTAGAAAGGACAGAAGAAAGAGGCTTTTGTTGCTGTGGGGCAAGGTGGGCAAGAGGACAGCTTTAGTTCTTGGGAAGCACTTTCTGGCTTCTCTAAGATGTTACAGCCTTACATTTTGACCTCCTCAACCCCAACAGTCACAATTACAGTTGGTTCCCGTGCTGCTTCCTACTTTTTCTGCATCTTAGGCAGCTTTGGTGAAAACTATATCAGTTCTCTGGAAGCAATGGGTTTTCTGTTCCTAGGAATACACTTACTTCTAGAGACTAGATATTCACAGAGACTTAGAGGCACAGACAGCAAAAATGTATGAGCCTGACTTGCATGTTGCCTCCACCACACATGGTGTCTAAACCCACAGCAAACTCCTCCCATTACATGCTGTGTTTTAATATCACATGAGGATACTCAGCTCATCAAGACTGCTGTGAGGAGTGTCCTGGATTAGCAGGAGGTGCCAAGCAGGTAGTTGGCTCTTTGGTCTGTCAGACTTTTATACCTAAGTGAGTCCTTTATCCCTAAGGAGATATTTAGTTTTACTTTCTGAGATGCTATGTTCCACAGGTGGTTACTTGTCTGTGTCCTGAATGCCTTGCAGAGTGGGGATAGAATGGATGGTGGATTAGTGTAATAACTTCACAGAACTCATTGATGCTGATCTGTTGACACCCCATTTATGCTGTACATGCCATTTGCACAGGAATCTTTTAAAGAAAGATAAAATTGCATTTCAGATTCAACTTCCAAGCACCTGCTTGAAGTTCTAGAGTAGCTACATTGTAGGACTTACCTTCTCCTTTGTAACTGAGGAGTATAGTTTTTCACTGGCAAGTCCTGTCTTGAGGACACGCAAACACAATTTCCTGGTCTTTGCATTTGAATCAGGGAGGAGGACCTGACTCCAGTGAGGTGGGAAAACTCTGAAGTTTCTTTTCCCCTGGGGCAGGATCCATCCAGCTCATTGCCAGTGAGAAATACCACCAAGACAGCAGGACTAATGTTTGGGAACTTATAGCTGTCTTTACCCGTAGTGCAAGTCCGCAGCTGAGACTTCAGCTCACTGCACTTAAAGGCAGAGGTTCAGTGCACTAAAGCAGTTAGTGCATTTAGCCAGCATCCTTTCTGATCCCCTCACCTAGTCTCACCGACCACTGGTGTAGTTTCCTCCTTCTTATTAGAAATTGGCTTTAATTTTCCTTTAAATAATTCTTAAGTGTGACTTTTTCAGTACAAGACTGGGAACTATGACTAATTATAAAATCATTACATGATTAAACTCAATTAACTTCCAATAACCCTTGAAATTTGCTTAATGTCAGCCCTTGGCCCTGCTTGAACCAATAAATATTGCTCACCTTTTGTAATGGGGATGAAAAGAGGTGGTTGCAGAGCAGGATTGTTCAGAGTCAGCTGAGCCAGGGAATGGCCTTACAGAATAGAGTTAAAATGGTCCCAGAGAGCTGAATACTGCCCCATGAAGAAGGGGAACAGAGTCTTCTGCTCCTAACTGGGATATTTCACCCCCCCAGCATTTTTCTCTCAAGTAATAAAGCTTTGAAAATTCTTTTCATCCTTCCATTCAATGCTTCCAATCTGCTTTGCAAATGTTAATAAGGGTTAAACCTCATAAAACCATGAAGGCATGGGAAAGTATTGTCATCCCCATTGAGACAAGGGATACCAAGGCATAGACGAGTGAACTGCAGAAGGATCAGTGGCAGGAGCAAAATCCTAGGAGTTCTGATGTCCTATTTTATATTTGAGCTAAAGCTGTTTCTCACATAATGCTGCAAGTTTCATAAAGCTGCATGAGAGCAAGGGACTCTTCTCAGTTACTGGGCACATCTGGTCGTTAGGGAGTCTTCTTTTTATCTTCACTTTATGAAGCCATCTCTGGATCCAGTCTTCCAGCTAGATCCTGGCAGGAGAGCTGGCAAAAGTGTGCAGAAGAATCCCAGCAGCTCTATTTCTGTGTTCAGCTCCTGTGAGGACAGAAGGGGATGTCATTATTGCTACTGTTCATGGCAATCTGCTCTGACTTGGAAACTGAAGCGGAGAGTAGCATTGTTCTTACTGAAGGCAGGTGATGGATAGAATATTTCCAATAGGTAATTAGATGGGCATGGTAACTAGACAGTCAGAAAGATGCCTGATCATCTACTCACTAGCATCTCTCATATGGTGTGCTGGCCATGAAATGGTCTCTGAATTGTATTGACTTCCAGCCCTTCTCCATGAAAAATCTCAGCATTCTTTGCTGGGTCCAGCCTGAAAATGGACTTAGAGGTTTCCTGGGGAAAAAGAGGGTTTGACTCTTAATTTTTTTTGGTCTGTTTGTGCAGAATGTGAGTGGATCATTGGTGTAGACTGTTAACAATCTCCTTTTTCTTTTGATTGCTGGAACTCCTGCAGCAATTTATAGACTCTTGAAGGACATCACATGAGGTTTCAACCTATTTTAAACAACAGAAGTAGTGAGAGAAAGAGAGACGAGATGTAAACATTCATCCCTAAACATGAGTGTTTATATCCCCAGCTTGCTGTTTGAGACTGATTCCTGGCTGGGAGAGCCCTCGAGTCATCATTGAACAGCTTGTTCGACTGTGACTTCTGAATGATGAATGTCTCCATTTAAAATTACAGATTACTGCCCCATAACAAAAATTACCACTATTATTGGACTCCTCAGGGGCACCAAAGGGTGACTGGGCAGTGGTGGAGGGCTTCACCTGCTATAACACTGCTCTCTCCCTTATGGTAAATGGCAATTTGTCAGCAGTCTGCTCTGTAGGGTGCCTGGTGGGGAAGTTTGGCTCAGCACTTGCTGCTCTGGCTTTTTACTATCGACAGAGTTCTCCTGTCTGTGGTACTGCCCACCAGATTAGTTAGGGTCAAAAGCTGAATAGTTGGATTTTTGACCTTTGCATGAACCTCACAAAAAATAAAGACAAGGAATTCAGTTCTGCAGTGCTCTGTCCAGTACTTGAGGAGAGATTTGAACATCAAAGGATGGGTAGTTCAGAAAGACAGAATCACAGTTTTGTGCTTGAAATCAGAAGAAAGTATAAATTTCCCTTATGTCTTTGGGGAAATACCTCCCTGTGTATCTAGCACATACTTACTGTTTGCACTGTCATGGCAAAAGGAGCAACACAAGTCCTGATAGGAACAATTTAAAAGAAACAAGTTGAGGTCCAGGATGGCTGGGAAGTGAAGTGGAGGGTCCGTTGTGTTTAATTACTTGTGTTAAAATGGTTTGTAGACTGGGATTTGTTTGGGAATGTATGTCCCCCTGTTCAGAGAAACGAAAAGCTGGATATCATAGCAGGCTGCCTGTTCATCATCTACCTGCTAGGGGAAAACAAAGTCATGTTTTTCCCGCAGAAATGAGCAAGTGTAGCAGAAGCAGCAGTGGTTGGTGTGCAGTAGAAGTTTGGGCCATGCTGGAGCGTGCTTGCAGCCAGCACAGGCTGGAGGCAAATGTTTGACAGCAATTTCCTACCACCAACCTGCGGACCTCCCCTTGTGCTGATCAGTCAAGAGCCAGTTGCAGTGGTAATACCTCCCTGCTGCCCCCTGACAGATTGATTTTGACCCTTAACTTCCCCTTCCACCTGCTAATGGTTTGATCACATTCTCCCTCAGTGCCCTTTTCCGGTTTTGTCATTCACCATTCTGCTGCTGCCCTCTCCACCTTTTGGCTGTTTGTTCTTAAAGGCCTCTCCTCCTCACTGCCTTCCTCCCCTTCTTGGCCATCCCAAAGTCCATCATTAATATCCTGAAATATTTTGGACACCAGAGGACCTTGCTGACTCGCAGCAATCTGGTCTGTAAGTCCTGCTGGCTGGTGGGAGCAGGGGAGGGAAGTGAAAATCAGGGGTTTCCCTTTTAATTTGTGCTTTGTTGCTGCTGGTTTGACCTTTAATCAGGTGTCTGACTGTTGTTTGCTTGCTGATGGCTCTTACAGAATGGTCCCTTGTAAATATATACAGAAAGGGCAGGAGAGTAACTGGAGATCGTAGACCACTCTTTTATATCCTGGGAGCCCATTAAAGGCTGTTTCCACTTTATCCATCCGTCTCTTTGTCAAGTTGCCTCCTGTGTCCGTCCACTTGTGCATTTATTTAGTGGCAATATTAGCTACTGTATCATCCTCTAGGACTGTAACAGTGAGTTTCAGAATAAAGCCAGAGATGCAAAGTGCGCTGAACCCATTATGAAAAAATAAAAGGGCTTTCCTTGATGGCATTTAGCTCAATAAACACAGTTTGTCAGAGATGTCTTTATCTCCTTACATTTAAGCGATTAAATGTTGGTAAAAATAGCTTCAGAAATAAAACATGAAGAGAGCTTCTGGCAAAGCCCTGTCCAGTTTAATTCATACATTAAATATTTGCTGGTAGGGTCAAAAGCTGAATGCTTGGATATTTTGCCCTTTGAATGAACCTAGCTAAAATACAGACAAGGAAATCAGTTCTGCAGAAGCTGTCTCCAGAATACAAGGATCAATTTAAACATCAAAGGATGGAGAGATCATACAGCCAGCCAGCCATATTATTCTGCACAATTAATACTGAGAGAGGTGTTTCCTGAATTCTGAATCTTGTGCAGGGAAGATAATATTAAAATTTCAGAGTTTTAATTATGTAAAAGACAGTCCTTGATCCTTAGCTCCTGAAAAGCAGAGCAGTTTATTCTGCATTAATGAATGTAGAAAACATCCCCTGGTCTGAATCTCTGCATTGATGCAATCTTTGTACAGTCAAATTAGCATTTCTATTTCTAAAGGTAATTTTCAGACAACACAATAAATAAATGATACGCTGGTAACCTCCAGATGGATAAAGTGGTGCTCATACGGCATTTACAATGCAAATTGGCATGAGATTACTTTGGCTGTGTCGATCTTGGGCACGGCAAGTCTGCACAGAGGGCAGGATCTCTTGTGACTTCAGGTGTGATAGGAGCTGTGCCTCAGGCTGCAGTGTATGCATGCCCTGTCAGTATGGGGTGTAGAGTTAAACTCTGGAAAGGTTTCTCCAGATTGGAGCTTGCTTATTTTGGGGTTGAGCTCTGTGATTCTGAGGTGCTGATAAGAAGGAAGCGAGCAACAACCAATTGCTCTGAGCAATGGAGCTGAAATTTGCCTAGTCTGCTGTAAGTCTGTACATTTCCATATAGGCTGTGAGTCCCACTTGTGCTTTTGTTTTCAATAGCTTTACTATGGTTGAGTAATTCCTGCACGTGCCTTATTTTAATAAGATATTGACCAGGGGTTCAGGATTGGGGTGAATGATTTCTATAGTTCAGAAGTATCATTGTGGTGGTGGGATTTTTCAATGGCTCCTAAAACTTTACTTCTAACTTGAACATTCTTTAGGCATCTGAATAAGTGTCCTCGTTTTTGTTATGTGGTTTCAAGAGCTCCCGTCCTTTGAAAGACCATACTGTGACTTATTAAGTTACCTAACTTTTGAAAATCTTAGCCATTATTATTTTCTCATAGTATATCTCCAAAATCTGTTTATTTTTTAAGTAGAGGACTGTATTGCACCATGTGGATTATATAGTCCTGTTTAGTTTTGGCTTTTAAGTGCTATTAAGAGTGGATTAAAGTAAATGAAGTAAGGCCCAAAGTTCTGATCTTTGTCCACTGAAATAAAGGAGAATTTTGTCGTTTACTTCCATTGGATCCATCAGAGGATTTCTGTGAGGTGATGAAGTACAGGGTATTTGCTTAACTTGGCTCATGTGGTAGTCAATGGAGTGACTTGTCTTGGGAAGCTGAGCATTGCCTCGCTGTATGTAATTAACATGACAGTGCTGTAGGTTCTGCATGTGGAAAGCCAGGCTATTGTAAATTGTGGTTTCCTTGCCAACCATATCTCAGCGCTCGCTCTTCTGTAGTTGTCTCTATGATGCTTTGTGCAGTATTATTACCCCTCACCTAATACTGGAGCTGGAGGGATCTGCAAAATCCACTTCTTATTCTTTCCATTTGAAATACATTAATGTGAAAGTGAAAATAAAATCTAAGATGTTTCACTTCCCGAGAAACATTAAAAACAGACTTGACATTGGGAATGTTTCAAAAAGATATTTTTTTGGCAAATAAAATAGCCGTAGCTAACTCATAGCTAATGAATTTACATTCAGAAATGTAAGCATTTACATCAGCATCATGATTAAAGCATTAAAACTGACTCTTCTGCCAAACTGTAGGTCATATAGCTTGAATTACATGTTGTGAAAATCTCATACTTGGAGCGAACTGCTTGCCAGCGAGTTACAGACCAAGACTTATTCCCAAGAATTACTTTCTGGTGAAGTTTAGGTAACGAATATACATTTGTGTCTGTGGAAGCTAATTTTACTGGTAGTGTTTTTTCACTGACATTGTTTGGGCAAGTGGCCATAGAGAAAGCTTACTTGAATTTGTTCTTGCTTCTCTTTGATTTCTGTTCTGAAGACAGTGACCTGGCTGGATCTGCAGATGTGGGCAGGGTTCATCTGTTCTCAACAACTTTTTGTGTGCTCTATGCAGCACTTTCTGAATTGGAGATATCTATTCACAATGCAAGCAGTGTCAGAGTGAATGTGCTTATGCTCCATGAGTAAGGCATAAGCAAGACTTTAGTCCTGCTCTTTCCTTGTTGAGACAATTGCTTGCATTGCTTGTTTCTTTGTCATTTTGATCTAATATATAGATTGGGAGATAAATCTTGTTTCTTCTTGATTAAGGTTACTTTGCACATGGAAGACCTCTCTAATCCAATTTATGCCAATCCTGCGTGATCCCCTAGGATGCAAATGCATGCCTAGGAAGGAGTGGAATACAGCAGTCTTCCTTCCTTTTGGTAACTTGGTGCCGCATCAGGTGCGTAGTCCAATTGCACCTTAAAGCTTGTGGAAAGAACACAGGATCTAGCACCACCCATCCCATGTTTTATTTATATGTCTTTGTACTGCTATAAGCAAAAGATAATGAGGCCAGAACCCCAACAGCTGTAATTTGGTGGCTTTGCTTGTCTTCAGTGGAGCAGTGCTGTGGATCCTGCTCAGTGACCTCCACCTGGCCGTGTGTCCTCTCCATACCTGCACTTGTGATCTCCGTACTTAACATTTACAGCCTGGCTGACCGCAGTGTCTTAAGTGGGGATTTGATGCATTGTCCTTAGGCGCAAGACTGGGATGTTATTCTGCTTTCATTGTCCGATCAGAGATTCTCTCTGTTCTTCTGGATCCTTCACAAACCAAACTTGAGAGGGTGAAGGTTTCGGCAAGCTTCTGAAGCCACAATAGTTCCTGGATTGCGGTGCAGCACTTAGATGAGTGGGTGCAAAGCAGAGCATAGCGTGTTGTCCTGGGAGGACAGAAGCAAGGAGGGAGAGGTTGGAATACCTTAGGCTGGTCCTACTGCCACAAGCAATGTATTGTCAAACTATGGCCTAATTTCCTTACCTAGGGTGTGTTTAAAGAGGGATTGGCATCAGGAGCAGGCCATTAAGCAACTGAAACTGTAATAGAAAAACATAACCTTATCACAGATATTTTTTTAAAAACCCTTGGAATATAGCTCAAATATAAGGTTAATTGGAGCCAGAAATGTCAAACTAATGTAGCAATTTACCCTGGGAGACTGCCCTGGCCTTTGAGTATAGCAATAGTACAGACTCCTGAGTAGGATAGTGAAGAAATATAATAGGATTTTATGTAGTCCCCTGTCATATTAAACGTTCTTTGCAATTAATTTCTTGTTGCAATGTTATTTTCACTGACCTATTTTTTTTTGACCTCCTACAATCCTTAAGCTACCAAAGGAGGGCATGTGGGAATTCATAGTTCTTAAAAAAAATAGATTAAGAAACCCCTTAACTTAAACCACTGTCAATACACACACTGCAGTGGAGACTGGTACTAACTCGGAGCACTATGAAAATGCCATTGGCTCATTCTACAATAGGCTTTAGTCTATGAGCTCTACTGATCCATTCAGGAAAATGCTGCTTTTGAATGGTTCGTTCAGAAATGAGTGGGAGTTTTCTTGGACTTTGAGTCTGAGGATGTCTGCCCTATGAATGAAACACAATAGGTTGTCCTTTTGTCCTCCTGCTGGTTGCTGGCTCTGTTTCTCCTACTGTTAACTGGATCAGACTAAGATAACTGGGTATTGTGGTGGAGTCTGATTGATCCGGAACTGCTGGACTCAAAGTTAACTATGATGAAATCCCAAAGTTGTGGAATAGCAAGGGCATCCTGGTACGTTGCAGCTGTTCTGACTCCAACAGAGCCCCTTTCCACCTGGCCTGGATACACAATCCATTTTCATTTTTTAATCAAACATTACTGAAGTGATTTTCTTTCTATTTTTATACAACTTCCACAGTTTACTACAGAAGTGGCTGTATCTCTCCGGAGGCCTCATGTTTCCTGAAAGCATCTCTTTGTCTGAAGGTGTGAGTGGGTAGGATAGTCAAATCCCAAAATAAATCACTCTGGAGGAGTATTAATCTTCCATCACAGAGACAGACAGATGTCTGCTAGAAACAGTCAGGTGTCTGGGGAGGGAAGGAGAGCTCCTGATCTCTGGAAGTCCCTTTTACTCCTGTTTTTCTGTCATTCTAAAGGATGGAAAGTGCTACCCCAGGAGAGTGCACCTGTATCCAGGTTTGCAGTCAAGGTGACCAGCTCAAAGGAGAGAGAACAATACAGGCAACAAAACTTTCTGATCTTGAATAAGAACTCTTAACATAAGCCCAAGTGTTTTCCAAGCAAGTGTCCTTAATGTTTTTCACTATGGTAATAAGGATTTGGGTTTTTTTTAAAGTGGAGCTGGAACCAAATATCATTGAATTAAAGAAGCCAGCACTAATCAAAGCACATCAAAGAGGTTCCTCATCAGTTGCCTGCAGCAACAGAATCTACAGCCTATCATCTTTCTTATGCTAAGCTGGAGGAATACAGAGAAGAGAATTTTGTCTGTTTGCTCTCATATGAACACAGAAATAACATTTTCAAGGTTTCTTTAATAGTTCAGTGCATCGGCCCATTCAGCTATCGTAATTTCTCAGTCCCAGACTTAGATTTCCTGGGAATCTTTTTCATATGAAAAGCAATCAAAGGAACCTTTAAAGAGGCGGTGGGTTGCCTCTTTCAACAGAGTTACAGATGTGCTTCTCACTCTTACATTGTCTCGTTCTGTTCCCTCCCCTCTCTAGGCCATGAAAATGGTACCCCTATGATTCCTGATCCTGAAATCCATGGGATCATAGAATCATGGAATAGTTACGGTTGGATCTACAAATGCATTTCATTCTAGCTAATAGTACTTAGAAGGGGCAAGTGACTCAGCTGGAACATGGTTCCCTGTTCAAGTAAGAAATCCTGCCCTTAGATCGGTATTTTCTGGTGTTCCCTGATACAGAAAATAGGGATGCTTGTATTTACTATCTAGTTCTAGAAGATCCAGTTGTTACCTAAAAACTTGTGAACACTCAGTACAATCAAATGATTACTCAGGAGTAGAACGGCCTGAATTGATTTTTACACTTGAGCAGTGAATAAAACACCCACCAGCAAAACCTCCTTGTCCACCCTGGGGACTTTCAGGCCAGGTGGTAGATACCCAGACCTTTCACGTGGATTGCATTTGCCAGCAATAAACCCCAGCAAGATGCAAGCGTTGTGATCAACCTGCAGTATCACTGAGGTTGGAGCTCTGGTTTTATGGTGTTCCAGGTTGGTTGTTGTGCACCTCCTTACTAACAAGTCCCAGAGCATTTTGCAGAATGTCTGCCTGTGGGCTGAGTCCCATATCCCAGCTCCAGACTGGAATGTGTTGGCATTTCAGGGCGAGCAACACTTCGCTATGGTTGTTAAAAGTGGAAGTGAAGAACAGAAGTTCCCCAACTGAAACTGCAGGGGGAAATTTAGTGTGGTAGAATGTAATTATCCAAACTGGAATATGGCCAGGATCCTGGAGTTAATAATACCCTCTGCTCTTGCAAAAAGTGCTATAGGATCTTTAATGACTGCTAGTGGTCAGCAGGCTTCACCTCACATCTCAAAAGATAGATGTTAAACAGACCAGAACTGTAGGTATTTCAGTCTTTTATAGAACACAAATATTTCTGGCTGGCCTCTGCCTGCAGCCTTCAGGTTCAGGAGGGAATTGAGTTAAACAGCCAGGGAGGAGACATTAGTCTTAATGAAAATGATCCCATTAAAGGCAAATGACATGCAATTGGTGAAGGACTGCTGAGATGTACAGTGAAGTGCCCATAAGGTAATATTTGGGTACCCCAAATCACCCGTCATGTTTGGTGACCATCAGCATCATGCAGTATGGAGGAATGGAATAAAAAAGGTGAAGAGCATCCTTTGTATAAAGGGTCAGCTCCTATGGAAATCTGCATTATGAATTTCCCCTGATTTCCTGTAGTAGTGGAAGCTTTGTGCAAATGAGTTGGGAAATGGGTGTCAGTGGCAAGATTGCATTGTGTTAATTAGCCTGGCATTGACGAACTGCACAGAGCCTGGGAACCTCCACAGCAGGATAGAGAGCACATCACAGAGAATCCCTTTCGTCACAACTGACTCGTGCCATGGGACTTCAATTAAAATCCAGACTAGGCCACTTTTAATCGCATTAATGAGAAATTAGTGCGGTTTTTTAGATCTTTTTTAAACTACCTGTCCACTCTTCTACCCTGCAGCCCATCATGATGGTAGATGAGGTGCTGATAGTCTGTCTTGGCTGCTTTTCCTTAGCAAAAGGTTTGTTATTCTATACTGCACCTAGTACCATAGGCTCTGATGTTTGGGATCGGTGGGCATTGCTATACTACCAGCTGTAATAAAGAGTAGAAGGCCAATGATCCCGTGTGTTGTTAAAATGAAGAAAGACTTGCACAGTTCTCTCCCTTGGTACATCCCTGTACATTGGTACTTACACCATAACAGTATTATCTCAGGGAATATAAGTCTGCTACAGGATATTGCCACTTTAACCATCTGAACTGCCTTTTAGTTCCAGTTTCAACTCAGTGTCAAAAATATTACCCCTGTTTAAGATTAATTTGTGACAAAATGTCATATTAATACAGCTATATTTCCCAGGGGATAAATATGGCCTTTTGAAGAGCAGCCATGGCAGAGTGCTATATAGGACTATAGAGAATTATCAACAGGCTTTTGCTTTAGCAAATGTCATGCTACCAGAAGAATGGTGCAGTTTGCAGGTAAGTATAGCATACGGGCTGCTTTATTGTAAGAGTGAGGTTATGATATTTTCTTCCTAT